TACAGCAGACTACATTCTGCAGGGGTGGATTCAGCATATTTAAAAAAAATCTGTCTTTTTGTTTTGTTCTTTTAAATGATTTTGTTAATGCCATTTTAAGAAAATCAGCTTAACAAAAATTAGTCTGAACTTAAAAAATGGTTAACATAGCATTTCTTGTCATCAAGGGACAGTACTAGAAACGATGGATGAGCAGAAAAGAAGAGGTGAGATCATCATCTCTACAAATGAAGCCACACAATCCAGTCACGCAGAGGTCAGTCAGTTTTGTATGTGTTTTGGTGACAATTTCTAGAACACATTTTTGCCTACTGATTCATGGAAAACTAAGAACAGGACAAGTAAGTGAAGCAATGAAACATTCTTGCCACTGAAATAGGATGAAGTAATTTAAGTTTTGAATTTCAGGAGCCCTGGCAACCATGCAGTTTAAGCTGGTTTAAGCCCCTTTACGCCATTGCTCTTCCTGTCCTTCCTGCTGGCGTATGTGCATGGCTGTCAGGTGAATCAGACCAGTGTGTGGATCTGATGGAATCATTATTTTCTCTGTGTTACTTTTCAACTAGATCCAATTCCCTGGTCTGATTAAATTCATAAGTTTAAACACTTGCAAAACTGAGAATAGAAAAAGGTGGCCAAAGGGAGGGACTGCTTACAGGACGTGCTGCTGTCAACAGGAATTTACATTAAACCATAGCCAGCAGAGCCCTGGCTCTAGCTTCCTGGGGACTGATTGTTGGTATCACTTCTTGGGAATAGTATTCTGGGATGTGGCTACTTCAGGCAAACTTGGCATAAAATGCCTCAAGTCTCTTCAACAATTTATGAGTATGTCTTGAGTTTCAATTCTGTGTCTCTGACTTAAATACATCGGGGACAGCTAACAACTGAAGAAAGTACTTTGCAGCCTTTGTAGGGGCGTTGCAAAACCACTTACACTAGAGTGATGGATTCTTATGCAATTCCTTTCCTCTCCTCAATGCCCTCACCATTTTTTAGCTTTTCCTGGTCTTTGATCAGTGTTTTCAGGGATCATAGGTATCCCTCCAAAGCACTCCACAACTAGCTCAGCTCTCTCTTCCTTCTCACAAAATCTCCTCTGAATGCTGGAATATGCAGTCTGTCAGTTAAAAGATCTGTCAGGAAAAATGTGCTTTCATTACATCCCCCTATGGAAGTGTCCATTTCGCTTTTCACATCTTTGTCTTCTCTCCTTTGGAGACTCCAGGCTTTGCACCAGCATGGGGAGAACGGTTCCCCTTGACTGAAGCCATTTTTATTGTTCATGGCAGCAGCTCTTCTAAAGTCTACTGTGCCTTTTTACCCTTATCACTGGATGTATATGAACAATAGCAGGTGAACAGCATACATTGAAGCATTTAATGATGTATGGTTTTACAAAAGTAATCAGTGTTATACAAATAAGTGCTTAAAATTTGCACACACATTGATTTTATGTATTATAGTAGTATATTAACACACTGAATTTTGAAACAGATACAGAAACATACATTCAAAGATATATATGCAATTATTTTAATTAGTGTTGAACTAAATCATGTCTATTACAAAGGGAGAAATAAAACACTAGCCCTTTCTAGCCCTTATCTAGCCCTTTCTAGCCCTTACATGACCCTCTTCCCTTTCTATCATATGTGAATGCCATAAAAGCTTGAAAATACTGTTGCAAAGTCCTGTGAAGTGTTACTGCTCCAGTTCTGCAGACTGGGAAGTGAGTTACTTAGAAGTACTTTATACTAACAATGTACAAAGCAGGGAAAAGACTTGATATGAGGTCTCAGATTCTGGCTATAAGCATTCAACAGTGGTTTCTAGAGAAACAGCTAGCTGTGACACAGAAAACCTGGCTCCTACTTGAGACAATCAGTAGGGAAACCTGCTTGAATGCTTGGATGTCATGTATGATTTTAGAAAATAACTTTCATAGATAGTATGCAAATTTCAGCTGGTAGAAAATACTGCTGGGTTTGCTCCTGTGCAATGCTAGAGAGAAAAATCTTAAGTGTGCTTAATGCCCCCAGCTGAAAAATGAGCATAAAAGGTCAGTTTGGATAGCATGTGATTGGTTTCCACCTGCAATTTATGTTAGGATTTCAACCCATATTAATAGATTGAAATTAATGATGTTATGCTAGTTTGCACTACTTTGTGTAACAAGTGTATAGAGCAGGGTATTGCAATAGAATGCTTCATTAGGACACAATTTATAAGCCATTTGAAGTGGGATGAATCTAAATTTATCACTGCTGCACCATCAGTAGAAGATAAATTAAGATGTACATGTACATACATTTTCTTTAGTACTTCCTGAAAGGATTGTGCTTGTGATGTGCCTTGTTCTGATTTTGTGCACTAAATACAATGGTACAGACAACAGTTCTTTCCCGCTGCTTGGATAAAGATGTATTAGAACAGAGGGCTCAAAAACTTTTTATGAAGTGCTGGATATAGATAATATATTTACATGTTCATGGAGTTATTGGTCTGTTTTCTAGCATTGGAGCCTATACTGATTTCTGCAATAAGGATCTGTCTATTAGTCTCCAAATTAGACAACATCTTACAGATTCAGCGAGAGAATTTTTTAAAAACTTGGACAAAAATTTCAGAAGGGCTAAACCAACTTTGGCATTGAAGTCCCATTTTCAGAAGAGACTTAGTGGCCTAAATCCTACTGCTGTGCAGTAAGATGCAGACTCCAATGTTGCAGTTGTTATCCCGCAACGTCCCGTCCGGTCGAGGAGGCACAGAGACAAACACACACCCCGTCTCTGGGCCAATGAGCACTGACACCAATATGAGGATGCTGCAAATGGCGTTTAATGATGTGCGACACAGTACTATATGGTGTGGGTTCACTACGTCACTTCCGCCTGCTTACATCACAGGCTAAGTGCTATTGGCTACTAGGAGAGAGAGAGGGGGGTGTCTTACCTTTCCGTACAGCACGATATCTTCCGGTCGCCAGACCCTATCTTACTACACTCCAAAGACACAGAACCTTAACTTCCAGCTTCTATTAACTTCATAACCATACTGACCATACTCCTCTACTCAATGCTCACTGACTGATCTAGCTGATCCATAACAGAGCCCTTGTGCAAAAGATTTCAGTTGGTAATGGTGATAGTCAAGTTAAAAGCCTTGAAGCCCATTATCATTCCCCTGAGCTATTCTCTCTAAATACATATACTAATACACATATTAATTTGTCTTGATTTTTTTTTTTAAACATGCCATTTTAATAGCTTTGAATGGCTTCTTCCAGGGATTGTCTTAATTCACCAGTTTTCAGTTATCAAGGGTCAGGTTCTGCTCTCTATGCCACATGCTCTATTACCCTTGAAGCTGTTTACATTCCTCCATGTTGAAGGGTTGGCTTCTATAACCAGCTGTAGAGAATTAGTCCAACCATCTGACCAGAATTTAACAAAACTGGAGACTGGATTAAATTCTCCAGAGTTTATAAGTAAGGGAGCAGCAGGGCTGGTTCTGGGGAGCACAATTTAGCACATATTTCAATAAAACCTAATGAATTATTTTCAATGGATGCATACCGTGGTTGCTTGGAGTACTTACAGTCTCAGCTTTGTCCTAAGTAATAAGTTTGAACACACTTTATGAGTAGCTAGTGAACAATACAGAAGGCAAAGGGGTTTCTTAATCATTGCACTTGCCTCAACCTGTTCCATTAGAAAAATTATTTTATTAATTTTTTTATGATTCCTGAGAACAAATTGCAGGTAATTTTCTGAATAAGTCTGGCAAATAGTATTCTTCATCCCTGATAGTACTTCTAAAATATTCTATTGATTTCATTTATAGAAATGTAAATGCTAATGCATTGACAATCACACTTTCCCTGCCCTGTTAGAAATTCCTTAGATTCACATTGCAGACTAGCTTCCTGTGTTTTAGAGAGTGTTTGCCTCTGTCATGCATTACTGATTTATACACAATGTCACTTATTTGTCTTCAGTCTGTATTATACAGGCCACCATGTCCCCAGATATTTTCACAGTAGTATATTAAGTGCAAATAACAAGGCCAACTTTTAAGTTGCAATAATTAATGGGGAAAATAAAAAGTGTAGTATCCCTGTAGCTATTTAATTTGTCTGTCATTTATGCTCAGCATACCGAATTCACAAATCTACAACAGAATGATTAGCTGCAGAATCACCATGTATTAAATTTTTTTTAAGCATACATTGTTTTCCTGTTTAATACCAGAGCTACTACCAGTTACAGTTCTCATTCAGATAATCCCAGCAATAGGTGGCATCATCATTCTATGTCCTAGTCAAATCATGCAGAGGGACTGGCAGAAATGTTCCTGATACTGGGTGAATATATTAACTACTGCATAACATATTTAAAAATCAAAAATTAATTATTCATTTAAAACATTCAGCCAGACCTGTGCAACATAAGGCAAGTGAGTTTAACTAGCTTATTATGAAAATTTTCATAAAAGCAAATGCATTTAGAAGTCATTTTACATTAAAATCTCACCAAATCAATGTCAAGACTCAAATGTCTATTTTAAATGTTTTTCTTCCAGTCACACAATTGTGCTGGCCCTAGAGTAAACAGTGAAACACATTTACCTTATGTGAGTTGTCCCACTGGAATAATTTGTGTGAATAAAGTTTAGCACATGTCAAGGGCTGCAGGTCTGGTTCAAAAGCATGGAGAATTTCCAGAATCACAAACAAAAGAATGTGTTCATGGAATAAAAAATGGGAAATGTTTTATCGTTTTAAGTAAACAGAGACACACCTAGTCCTGTATAAGATGGTGATCTGAGTCTAAAAACTCTTTTTTGAGACTGTGCCCAAGCCTCAGGAGAGATTTACCTTGTAAAGTTGCCTGCATTTCTGCCTGCCCAATTGTCCACGTTCAATACCTGGTTAGAATACACAGTTTCTGTCTGGCTCATGTGCCAAGGTCCCCATTCTGCAGAGTGAAACATAGGATGCAGGTGATAAGGGGGAATGGGATGATAAATACTCTAGTTGTTGTCCATTATAATACTGAGATTTAATGAAGGAACAAACATGGCTGTGGGAAGCAGAAAGCATTCCTGGGTTCTGTGGTGTAATAATTTATTTACTTTCTGTGGTCATCTGGAGCATTGATATATGATTGCTTTTGCCTACGAAAGAATTATGACTGAGGCAATGAAGCCCTTCAATTTTAAAAGCAGTGAGTCAGAAGAAAGAAATTATAAAATACCAGAACACCGAATAGATTAAAGTGTAAAATGAATGTTTCCACCATACATTTGTTTTAGCAAATGTATGTCCAAATTGCATCAAATATTCCATACTCCTGAAGTCGAAATGAAAAGTAAAAAAGAAACATCTACATTAAAATTTTCCATTAAACATTTCATGGCCTTGAGCATATTTACATACATAGACAGGAAATGTCCATATTTGATCTACAGTCTGGAAGTCATGCTGGTTTCACTGGCTTGTGTGTTAGCTTCCCATCCACATCTGATCTTCTTTATCCTCTTCCTAAGACATGGGAGGAGCAGTATGCATTTACAAAGCAGAACTACAATAGGAAGAAAAACTGCTACCATAAATGAAGGTGGTGTATACCAGATAAATTGGTTAACATCAACCCACTTATTCCAAGCAAACACCAGTGCGTGAACAGTGCATAGCAGCAGAGCTACATATCCCATCTTGCTCTGAAAAGAGAAAGAAAATAGTAACCTATTTATTTTTTCCAACTTGGCAAAAGAGCACTCTGTTAAGCAAATATGGAAATCAGGAAGGGCCTCAACCAACACTCTTAAATCAAGAAAAGAGACTAGTGGCTTTGAACTAAAATTTAAGAACTATGATATCTATGAAGCTAATAATGCTGCAGATGGAAAATCTTTGCATGTATTATTGGGCAGAAGCCTTCTCCTGGACTTTCCAGCCACCTGGTACTGCTCAGGCAGTAAAGAATTGCCAAAACAGCTCCCAGGGAGTAACAAGCAATTCTCTTTGTGTAGTGGAATCCCATGTTGTATGGGAACAGCATTGGCTGGTTCAATACCACCTACTCCCAATTGAGGACACAGGGGATTCCTGAAGCATAAGATGCCCAGAAGATGACTGAAATGTCTTCAGCACCAGAGGTCTTTGACATAAGAATAGGTCCTGAAGGGATGACTGATGCTGGTCACCAGGTCAGAGGAGCAAAAAAGTAGTTTGGAGTTGTCTTTCTTCCCACTCCATACCTTGAACCTGACAGCCTTTTCTCCTGACAAAATAACAAATGAAATAAACATTTCTTGCATTTCTAACAAAGACTATGAAACAAACTTTTAGATTGGGTTCACTAACTCCTCTGTGTTTGATATTTCTAACTCCTAATGGTCTTAGTTGGTAACATACAGTCCTACAAATGTGGACTAATGACATGCAATGGTGACATTTATACGTACCTGAATGTAGTGGAACTCTCTCCAGGTCAAAGAGTGACTGACAGATGGGATTGATGTTATTGCCAACAAGGCCAGCAAAGCAAGTCCCAGAATTCCTAGAGACACATAAATTTCCATTCTCCAAACATCGTGTTCAATCCAGGCATCTTCTTTTTTTTGTTTGACCTGCCAAAAGAACACCATATTTAAAATGACAGACTGGCACACTTAGCCATTTGTGTGAAATACAGCTATTTTCACCATATTATTCACGAAATAGGCCAAGAAACACAGTATTTTTGTTTGTTTGGATGTCTCTGAATGTAACTGCTTTTACTTCTGATGACAAATTCTCCACTAGTATCTGCAGAGCAAAGGTGAGCTTTAAGTGAGAAGAACTGAGAGTTTATGAGCATCTTGGCCCAGGAGAGGCTAGTTCTGAGGCCTGTTAGCCTGCCTTCACAGCAGGATAAATCTTACTCTTTGACAAAAAAATTTGATCTATGGCTAAATGCCATATCTGGGAGATTATAACAACGGGAAATATATTAACAGCACTATTTTAGGGAGCTAATTCAGCAAGCATTCTTAATGCTGTTATCCTGCCAGGACAGTTGTTTAGCTCTATTTTTAAAAAAAACAACAACTTGGTACATTCAGCTTCACTGAAGACGATGGTTGCTATGGATGAAAAGGTTGTGATTTTAGTAAACTGATGTCAAAGCTTCTCCTATTTGTGAGTACTTGCAACAGCCCTTTGATGCTGCTAGTGATCACCATGGTGTAATATGCCTCAAAAATTCTTCATCTTGAGGACTGGAATCTCAAGGAAATTTCTGGTAATCCATTAAAATCAGATTACCAGTAAGGCTGATTTTAGAGTTTTCAACAGGTAGTTTGACTGTATACAGAATTCTTAAGAAGCTGCTAACATCATACTGTGTATTTAATAAAACTCTAAATTAGACTTTGATGGTAATAAAAAAGTACATTTGCAGCCTATACCTTATATTGGAATATTCCTTATACTGCAATACTCATGGCACTCAAGGCGATATGCAAGTATTAGGAGTTCTCTTGTCACAGAGGACCTTAAAGAGTTTTGCCAGCCAATTACTGCCCATGACTCAGAAGCATGACTGAAATTCTATCATTTAAGAAGTTAGTGTGCATCAGCCCAACTGTGGAGCCACCAGTGTTCACAAATTTCATTTCTGGAAAACACAGATTATTGTGATTTAGCTGGGCCCTCGTTCATTGCTGGTTAATTCACTTTACAAATAATATGTCTAAAAATAGTGTGTGCTTAGTTTTTTGTAGATTGTTAGATTCCATTGGTGTGGAGAAGATCAACCCACACTAAACTAATAGTGTGACAAAAGATTTAAATGTTCCTGAGAGGCAGGTATAATTATATGCATTTTACAGAGAGATAAAAAATCCCAAACGAAGAAAGTGACATATTTAATACACACTGGCACAGCTGTGATAACTCTTGACTCTCTATCACATGCTTTAACAACTAGGTCCTGCTCTATCCATTAATAGTGCTCTGTGGGGATCTGCTTCAAAATCAAACAAAGGCAATGAAAATTGCTTTCCCCCCCCATCCAGATTTGCTTGAATGACCAAAACAAGTATTTTCTGAATACAGAAGGGCTAGCATTTGTGTTCCCATCATACCTGCTGGAATGCCCAGTTCAGCAGCTTGTATCTGTATGATCTTCTCATTGGATAACATAAGCTATAGCAGGCGTGCATTGCAGCGAAGAAGAAACTGAGAAGTCCAAATTGCTTTCTTGATAACATCCATCTATCCAGCCACTGTGGAAACCTTTTATACTTGGTGCCAAAGTACAGCTGGAAACCAGCAGCTAATATTCCTGGTAAATATACTAGTGCTAAAAGAGTAATTGAAACCACTGGTAAAACTTTGTTTATGACAAGGACTGGAATTTTATAGAAAACATTTTCCTTTCTCGTTATAAAAGGATATATGACGTCTCTTACAGAAGTGTAAACAAATGTTAATAATGAGATCACAGATGCTATCTTCATTGGCAAGTGCCACTTGGGGAACAGATCCCGCTTGCAGTGTTGTTCTGAAGAGTGTTCAAACTCACCAAAATGGTGTGCTTGATGTAAACTAAAAAGTGCTGCTGCTTCTGGTGGATTGGTGACTTGCATATCCACATTCTGGAAAGGACAGAAAGGAAATACCAAGTGAATTCAAGAGAAGATTAAAAACATCAGTAATGACAAAGAGAAGATTAAAAATGTTCGTAATGACAGTATTTGCCATAATGGCTTTTGCAACATACTACACTGAAACCACACACAAAACACACTATTAAAGACAACATATCTTGAAACCAGAACGTTCAAACAGCATAGTCAGTAGTTGGGCAAGGCACTTTTAGCATAGGTTTCTCATTTGTCATTCATTATCTGTGGTGATTTCAAAATAGATTTTAATTCCCCACAATTACACCGCAAGGGAAGATGGATTACATTATATGATGCATCATTACAGCTTCTTATGATATGAGCTACAGATATCAAATGTCAGATTTCACCTACAGACCTAATGATGCAGCCCAAATAATGACAGTAACAGAATCCAGAGCTAAGACAATAAAATATTTAATTAAGTCACTGCTATTGTAATGATATTTAATTGGCAGAATGAGGATGTAAGTAGAAATGTTTGGCATCCAGTGTATTAGACCAACTGCGTATCTGTCAAAAGTCCCGTGGTCTTCTTCCTCTCCTTCACAAATGTTATAGTGTCCTCTTAACTTTCACGAAAACTTGTGAAACCGAGTCACTTCGGTTTAAAAAGCTGAATTTTTTGCTGCCAAGCAGACATGGCTTGATTCTAGTCTCATAGAAGATCTTGGCAGAATTATCACAGACTTTAAAAGTAGCTAAGCTAGAAAAAAAAATTAGTGTAATATTATAAACTGTTTTACACTGAGATAAATATTTAAAGATTGCCCCACAGTTACAGTTCATGGAAGAGGTCCATGATCAGTATATATACAAAATGAAAATACGTGTACCAATGTACAGGACATCACACTTGATGCAGCCAAGAGCTGTCCAGGGGTGGAGAACTGAGAACTGGTAACATTAGATAATAAACATGTAAGTCCTTTAATATTCCAGTGAAATATAAAGTAAAACTGAACTAATGCTGCAGTGGCTCAGCTTTAGAATGACTGATGTGGCAGATGTCCAGACCTCCAGAAAGCAAAATAGCACAGTCCATTTTGAGGAAGGCAAATATTAGTAGTTTGAAAGTTGTAAGTTAGTGTTCTGCTAGGATACAGGAGATCTTCCTATCTCAGCAATATTCTCTGGCTTTCTTCTTAAGAATCAAATATTACATTGAAGTTGATTGAGCCATCAATTCAAACAAGGTACTACTTGGAAATGAAGCAAGGATAAGAGGATGCAAGTCTCGTGTTCATCTTCAATGACACACAGGTATTTTGTTTTAACAGAGGTAAAAAATGTACACTGCTATCTTGCTGTAAACTGTTAACTGGAGACAAGGCAGCCTGTTTCCCATGTGTCTGACTGACTTGCCTATAGTGTCTTACAGTAAAATTAAAGTGCATGGTCTTCATTAGGGTTTTTTAGCTGAATAGCTACTATATGTTTATCTGATGATAAAAGCATATCTTTGTAACAGTGACGGTGTAGCCTAAGTAACTTTTATTCTCTAGTCTGTGAAGTAGAGTGTAGTCTATGCATTTCAGAATTGGAAGCTGGTATAAATTATACAAACTGAAATTCACATCTGAACCAAGTTTCACCTACAGATATCTGTTTCTTGAAGAGATAGTCTGTAAGGCCTAATTCAGTACTTCACAGCCTGTGAGACAGTTCACATTAGAACAGAAAGTTCTAGCTTGAGCTACTTCTGCGCATCGGCAATTGCACAGGCAAATGCTGTTGGAGTGGATTTTTTTCCTAGACTTTTTTTGTGTTGTTTGGAAATCTTACTGAATGCAATGTAGCAATTATGAAAACTTCTCTAAAGATAATTAGATCATTTTTATATTCCTGTACACAATACCCAAATTATTTCTACAGAGCTTTGCCCATCTAGTAAAATGCAACTAGCAATTAACTTCATGTAGTTTTTAGCTGGCCCAAACTGTGCATTTTTTAGCATGGACTGCACTTAAATTGAATGAGATGCTCTTTATCTTTTTATCTCTTCATGTCAATATCGTGATAAGACTTTAGAAGTACTGATATGACAGTGTGATAGGAACACAGTGTTTCTGGACAAAATCTCATGAAAGACTTCAATATTCTGTGTGACATATGAGCTGCTTTTTTATAGAAACATTACCAAGTTGCTAAGGTTTCCTGTATTTCTTCTCGGCATGATGATCTGACCTGCATTCTGATCAATGGTGTGATTATCACTTTCCGTCTTCTCCATTGTGGAAACTCCCTGCAAAACAAACACAGGATGTAAAACAGGTTTTGAAATGCCCTACTGGAACTTTGAAGCCTATTTTCCCTCAAAATGTTTTCTTCCCTCTCCTCTGCCCATTTGCTGGAAAAGGTGCAATCATGTATAGAAATGAAAGTCTGAGATAAATATTTAAAGATTCTCAGAGAACAGGAAAGCTCAGTTTGTTTTTTAAGTAAAGCAGAGACTAAGAGGATATGAATCAACAGAGCAAAATCACTGATGAAAAATAATAATTAAGCTAAATGTTCACGCCGCTAGTGGCGTGAATTAATTAAATCAGGCTGAAAGGTTTTAAATTGCAAGAATAAAGTTTGAAACAACTTATAGAAATAACATAAAATGTTATGAAAACAGATTTTGGTAAGTTCACAAGACTCCCTGAGGCAAGAAACTCATGCAAATGTGTGGTTCCTAATATATCTTGGGTTTTAGGATTTGGGTTTTAGGATTTGTCTACCTGACAGTCTGTGGCTTTAGAGGTATATTCTCCCTTTGAGATTGTCAGGAAACTGCAGCTGGAGCTCCACTCATGCTGTTCCAAGGTACACTGGCAATACTTGTCACCCACAAGTACTAGCAGAAATGGTTCTAAGCTGCTAAGGACTATAAGAAATCAGAAGCCAGAAAAAAATAAAAGGGAAGAGAATGGATAAACTGAAAAAGATGTTTCTTAAAATCCAAGGATAGCAGGAAAGACAGTATCTTGAAGGCTGTAAAATAACTACAAAGACTGCAAGAACACTTCAACAAGGGCTTCCCATGTGTGCACCATGCTGTCGCACACTGCAGGAGGAGAGGCACTAGCACCACAGCACTGGAAGCTGAGGGTGCCATACCACACCGTGACTTTCTGTGGCTATGTTTAAGACAGTGATGAAGTAGCTCCTCCATGTACCTTCCTACTGAACAGCTGAATTACTAGATGTGAAATTGTTTTGCTGACTACTGACTCTTTTATATCCATAAACCTTTTGGGAAATTGTATGGACAAATCAGACTTTGACAGTTGTCCTTTTTTGTCTGTGTCTGGTTCTTTCAGTGGATGAGTCCTACAGTCTTGTATTGTCTGCTATGATGGTTTGCTTTCTGCCAGGCCACCAGACTTCTGAAGCCGAAGTATTGTTTTCCTACATATTTCTCTTTGGATTTTTCCCTCCTGCTAGCAAGCTCTCCCTTTGGGCATAACCTTTCAGCCAAGTGTTGCAGAGTAGGGTCAACAAGAGCTTCTGTCTGAAGGTCAGGCTGTTAACCCTTTCCTGCACCAGCTAATGGATAGTTTGTGTATCCTGCACACAAGAAAGCACGGACTGATGAAGGCACATTTGTGTTTTTTCCTCCTATTTCTAGAGCTAGTCCCAGTGATTTTATCACAAGTTTCAGGGTATCAGATATCTGCATAAAACCTCAGCTCTTGAAGTCCAATGATTAGTTAAGAATTTCTACTTCTATATGTTTTAATATACTGTATCTCTAGCTGTTACAATGGCAAAGAATAGTTTGCAAACAGAACTCTGTTTAATGTACTTACCTGGAAAAAAATTGTAACAAATACAGTGAGCTCCAGATCTATTTTTAAAAGAACCCAGAATATGAAGGGCGTTCACACTGTTTTTGTGGCCTACGCTCTGATTTTTAAAGTTAGATGTGGAAAAAAAAGAAAAAGACATAAACTTATAGACTGACTTTTTACTCTTTTAGGTAATGAGACTGACTTCTTAAAATTGTTAAAACAGCCTGTGGCTCAGATCTTTGCTGCTTTTATTATTTTTTTTTTTCCCTGAACTGATCTCCGCTGAGCTTTCAACTGTTAATATCACCCATCTACATGAGCTTACACAGTGACCCCAGCCACTTTCTAACTCTCCTTTTCTGACTACCACACTATCTTGAGGGGCCAAAAGCATATTTTAGATGGGGAAGCTCTGTGCGGAAGAGCTTGACTCACCTGAATCTCATGCTCTTATCACTCTTCATATAGAAAGTTTAGAAAAGAGTCCTAATAGCTTCTAGCTAAAGGTTGGTATTTATGAGGATGCAGTTAATGATATAATGATGTGGAAAAAAAAATCTGTGACTTAGAATGCCAGCTGCTGATCGAATTGGTTCTTCAGGAAGCAGTGTTTAATACAACATTAAATACAGTGTTAATGGTTTATGCAGCAGAAGACAAAAGCAATAGAAAAAAGAAAGTGTGTGTGAATGAACACATGTGCTCATCCATGGAAATATGGGTTAGAGCCGTGCGACTGCATGCAAGGAAACATAGATGCCAAACCATAATAGTCCACTTGGCTTCTGATACCAGACTTAACACAAAATTATTTCTTGGGTACACCCAATAACAAAGCACAGTAATAGTCTTGGAAAGCCCTAACTACAAGACACTTATAGTTCCACTGTTCAGTGCCTTATGAATTACCAGAAAGGAGCTGTCTACAGCATATATCTTTTGAGAATACATCTGAAGAAAAAAAAAAAAATTAGGGGTCCTGTGAGAGACACAAACTAATCAGTTATAGCCCTAAGTCACAACTGTTTCGAAACAGAACAGTTGTAGTAATATCCATCTTCAGTACACACCCCTTCTCGGAGAGGCAGCGGCGCAAGCCAAGTTTCCAATGCTGTGAGTTCGCTACTGCATTTTGTACCGAGAAAACAGGCCGAACCGACAGGGACCCACAGTGTGCAGACATCACCCCGGGCCAACACCACCCAAAGCCAGTGAGAGGTTTTCCTGAGTAAGAGGTTTCAGCGCTGGCTCCACGAAAAAAGGAAAATGGGTAGAACAAACAGGCTATGATAATAATGATGAGGTGATGGAAGAGGCACGGGACAGTGACTGCATCTCTCTCTCTTGGCACCATCGGAACGCGACAGTGGAGTGTTGGGGATAACGGCCTCGCTTTCCAAGTGCCCGC